ATACACTTCTTTGTGCAATTGCACTGAAATGTTGTTTGATTGTGTTGTGCACGTGATTTATTGTACTGGTCATGTGCTTAATTGTATTGTATCGTACCAATGAATTGCAGCGCGTGTTCTTAGTTAGTGTTATCATATACCAAAGAAACCGTTTAGCAAAGTACACCTAATATTTTTTTGTCGCACTAATACTTTTTGTGTTGTATGTAAATATTTGACTGCTACAGGCCACTACATCCTTTTATCGTACCATTCCAGGAATAGCGTCCTAAACTACACCAAACACCATGGACACATACGTAGATGTATGCATACGCACACACCAATCACATGGGCATTTATTCAACACATACTCAGGATATACTTCTGCATATACGTACACATACACATACACAAACACACGTGTGTACACACGTACACACACAAACCACATGTGCACTTATGTAACAAATACTCAGTATATACTTGTGCATATACGTCCACAAACACAAACACACATACGAACACACTTACACACACATCAACCACATGTGCATCTATTCAACACAAATTTAAGAGTGATCTCTATTGTGTGACCCTCATTTTCCACATGTTGAAACTGTTGACTTGAGATATGAAGAAATGCTGGCAATCACTACGCAAAGGTTTTCCGGTAAACATACACATACACATACACAAGCACGTGCACACATCTGCATAGTCGCACAGTCACATATATATATACATACATACATACATACATATATACATACATGCATAATACATCCATCCATCCATCCATCCATCCATCCATACACACATGGGTATGCACACACAGATGAAAGAAAGACACACCTGACATATCTTCCCCCACACAGGGGTGATCTCAACTATCGTGTGGCGTTGGACTATCATATCCCTGAGGCCGTTGGGTGGAGCCACGAGAAGAAGTGGGCACACGTGACGCAGATGGTCAAAGACGGCAAGTCCAAAGAACTGTTGGCGGTAAGTGGTACCTGATGATTGGCTTAGGGTTTAGGGTTCATTGGGGGGTGGGTTTATTGGGTTTAGAGTTTATTGGGTTTAGAATTTTAGGGGTTTAAGACCACAAGTTCAAAGGACTGTTGGGGATACACGGTATCTGAAAGAGTGCGTTAGGATTGCATCGTGTAGGGCCAATTTTTCAAGGTTAGGTTTTAGGGGTTTTAGGGGGGGGGGGGGGGGGTTTATACGGGCGTACTTTGAGAGAACAACCCGAATAATTTAGCACGGTACTTAAAAGTGTTGTACCAATGAAACTAGAACACAGAAGTATAGATCTCAAAAGCACTCGCACCTACTACTACAGACACCAAAGTACACGCCTTGAGTATAACCCCTCAAGTACCGCACTTTATCACACGTCATTGAATGCGCTCATCTGTTCCTTTTGACATGTCCCATTCGCTGCTCACAGTACGACGAACTCATCCACGAGCACGCCGCCATGCGCGTCTTTGGCAATTTCCAAGAAGGTGTGTGGGCCTCACTCAAACCCAAAACCTAAACCTGAACCTAAACCATTCGCACAGATTGGGTCATACGAGTATTATATGTACGATCCTATTCATTTGTTTATTGGTGTGTACACGCAACCAAACCCAAACCTGATCCTAACCCATTGGCACAGGTTGGGTCATACGCGTATTATATGTTCGGTCATATTCATAGGTTTATAGGTGTGTACACGCACCCAAAACTAAACCTGAACCTAACCCATTCGCATGTGCTGGATCGCACGCATACCGTATACCCGGCCTAATTCATTTGCTTATATGTGTGTACATACAACTTGTAAAAATCAAGCCTAACTCTAAACCATTCGCACATATTGAGTTATACAAATGTCTGTCATATGTCCGACCTCATGTATACACTCTTGCCCACCTTCGCGCACATACTTACCAATGCACGACCTTCTTAACCCATTCCCCCGTGGTCCCCCATGCACCAGGTGAGATTTGGGGTTGATCTCACTTTCAGCTGAAGCACACTTCATACTTATTATACCTACCTTCATACACATACCTACTACTGCATCCCATTCCCCCATGGTCCCGCATGCACCAGGTGAGATTTGGGGTTGATCTCACTTTCAGCTGAAGCGCCCTTCATACTTGTTGTACCTACCTTCATACACATACCTATTACTACATCCCATCTCCCCATGGTCCCCCATGCACCAGGTGAGATTGGGTTTGAGCCCACTTTCAAGGTGCTGCGCAATGAGCCTGCGGGCCACTACCTGGAACAACGAGTGCCGTCCTTTTGTGATCGCATTTTGTTCCACTCTGCCCCGTCGCGGCGAAGTAATGTGGCGGTGGTAAGCATGACGTGTTGTAAGGTTTAGGGTTTAGAGTCTAGGGTTTTGCTTCTAGTAGTTGTTGGGGTGGGGACGTATCTACGAACACACGTGCAGGTGTGTGTGTTCTATATCTCCAGGTGTGTGTGTTCCATAGGCTATGGATTGTTTTGGCTGAAGTGCTGAAGTAGAGTGCTTTGCTTGAGTCAGCCTTCTCTCTATTCCGTTAAACGTGAAATGGTAGCATTTGTTCGTGGCGTGTGCTGTCTTCTGTCGGACATGCCTCACTCCTGTTGCACAAGAAACGACCCCGTTCCATATCTCTAAACTTTCCACACATAGACAGGGTAGGTATATTTCGTTATTAGGATCAGCTGTATCACCCAGCAAGCAGCGTTTTCAGTAGGTATGCCGTACCTATATCCTGTGCCCCTTCCCCCCTGGCGCTTGGCTTCTGACTGATTTTTGTTTTGTTTTGTTTTGGCGTGGTCTCTGCCGTTACTGCAGGTGGAGTATCGCAATGTGCCCAGTCTAATGACGAGTGACCACAAGCCTGTGACAGCAACCTTTGCCGTAAGTTGCGCGTAGTCTTGTGTGTGTGTATTGGTTTCAGGAGTTTAGGCTTTAGGCTTTTGGGCTACTACAAACCAGTGTCCGCGACGTTTACCATAAGTGCCTCGAAGTCTTGTGTGTGTGTATTGGTTTTAAGTTTAGGGTTTGAGGGTATAAGGTTTGGGGTCAACCCCTTGACCACGACGTATAGCATATGTTGCGTATAGTCCTGTATATATATATATATATTTACCATATATTGTCACATGTGGTTGGTGGTACCGTTCTTTCTCATTTCACAAACACACCTCTTCTGGTTGTGTATGCCCATTTGGATTGGTGTTTGGGTGTCTGTGGTGAGCACCTGTTGTAGCGTCTGTCTACACATGTGGTCTCTCGAACTTCATACCGTGTGTGCATTCTAACACAACCCATTCTCTCAGACTGTCCATTCCACATAACCAATACCGGCTAATACCAGATTCGTACATAGTACACCAGTACTTATGCATAACCACTGCATGCAGTATATATGCATGATACACGCATCATTGTGTACACACACGACTGCACACCCATTGGCAACCAACCGATGCTCGCATGTCCATTTGAATCACATCACATGCAAAGACCCAATAGCCTAAACCCTAGTCACGAATGATACGCACATATCCACTCACACCAATACACACACAACTGCACCGATTATTTTAAAGAAAGGCTAACACGCACCCACACCCACGAATGCACACACAACAACACACAACAGCACACAACACACAGGTGATAATAGCGCACAATACGTCTAAACACATGCCCCACAGTTGACGATACCACGGCCAATCAAGAAGGTGAAGAAACAGTTCCATTCCGGTGACTACTACACCGTTGAATTTAAGACGGTGTCCATGGCTGTGGTTGATGAGGTGGATATGGTGCTGGATGTGGTGGGGGGTGCGGTGCGAGGCCTGTACAAGTAAGTGATCCGCCA